CTTTTTAAAAAAGCAACCCCATTTAAAAATATCAATTTCTTTACATGTGGTGGCAGCAAGTGGGATAATAGTCCAACATTCATATGCAAAAATTCAAGGGGAAAAGATTTGCAGCATTTCTGGAAGACTCTCTTCTTTTCTAATTTTGGTTATGGTTGCTCAGCTTTCCCCTTGGGGTCTGGGTTTGGAGAGGATGGGTTATATTTTATTTACTTTGTAAAAGGACACTTTTCTCCAGCTTTCCATTCTTCACTCTCTCCTTCCCTTCTCCTCTTGCAACCCATTAGCTGGACCCCACAGCTTCCCAGGAGCAGCGTGGGAAGTTTCTGTCCGCATGCACAGTGCTCAGAGCAAAGCAGCCAGGGAAAGATGGAAGCCGAGCATCTGAGTCTCCAGGTTGGACACTTCCGGGTAGAAACAGCTTTGGCTCTTCGGAGCCATTTGACCTCTGCCAAGTGACCTAATGTTTGAGTCTCCTTTTTCTCCTCTCTGTATTAAAAAATAATAATAGTATTAATCTCTTGGGGAATATTATGAAATAGGTAAATACAAGCAAGATATTTAGTATGGCATTTTTCATAACTCACTTGGCAATAAAATCTGCCCTGAATCAGTGTTAAACAACTTTAAGTTGTTATTGCAACCACTCATACCTTTTTTCAGTGGAAATATGTATGTGTTTGATTACAGGGTGATACTTTAGTTCCCACTGGAAGAGTTAGGTTCCTTCTGTGAGCTATATGGGCCACAGTTCCTTTCTAAAGTCTGGAATAGTTTGATTTTCAAACTACATACAGCTTCAAGATCCCACACCAGGGGTGGGAGAGCTGTAGGTGACTGCTCAGGACTTCAGAGCTATGACCTTGATCTTGTCTGCTTAGGGGACTTGCCCAAGGGCACACAAAAACTTACTTTCAGGTAGGTATGCTCTCATATATTATTTATTCCAGGACCCTGCCCTTGACCAAAAATATCTGTGCAGTTATCTAACTTGAACTTTCCTAGCAGAAATCTGCATGTTTGGATCATCCAGGCTCTTTGAGAGACCACTTGCGCAGATGGAAGTTGGGCAAAGATGGGTACTAGAAGTTGGGCAAAGACAGCCAGAGTAGAAAAAGGATTGAGGCAAGACATGGACCCACGGAGGTGGAAGGGTGACCCACTAGGTGACAATGCAGGGTTATGCATCTGTATTCAGCCTCTGGAAGTTAAGTGTAATTTTGACAAATGGGAGATTTTAAATATATAACGAGGATGAATGAAGCAAGAAAATTCCCAACATTCTTTCACTTTTCAAATCACGTTTTCTCTCTCAAAAAGAGGGTCTGAAATAAGACAAGACACAAATCTAATGTAATTGTCAGCGGGGGAAAAGTCAACTATATGCATAAAATAATGAGTAAGTCACGGAGAGTTGCTACACTTGAATCAGAAAATGACCTCTGAGCTTCCCAGCAGCCAAGGGAAAAAAAGGAAAATATGATGATCATATGTCATCACAGCACATGTTCTGGGTATCTGTTGTGGCAAAGTAAACTGCCCCCAAACACAGTGGTTTAGGATAGTCATTTCACTTTTCTCGTGATTTTATGGGTTATGAAACTGGGGAAAGGCCTGGTAGGCAGCTCACATCTGGTGTACTTGGTATCAGCTGGGGTGAATGGGAGCAGAGGATCAACTTTGAAGATGAAATATTCAGTCACGAATCTGATGTTTAATTGATCTTTGCCTTCTGACTTTCTCCAAGGAAGCATCTCATCCTTCAAGGCTGTTGGGGCTGGGGCTTCTCAGACCTGATGGTCTTAGGGTGTTTTCACTTTTTTTTCTTCATTTTTTTTATGTTGTTCTTGTTGGTTTTTTTTTTTGTATCAGATATCAAACTTGGGTCCTTGTGCTTGCAAAGCAGATGGCGGCACCACTGAGCTAAATCCCGGGCCCTGGGTGTTTTCACTTTTCAGGACAACTGGCTTCTCTCAGGCAGGACAAGTTTGGGTTTTAGAAGAGCATGTGGAATGGTGAATATTGTAATGGTATCTTGGGAAAAATAATCTGCCACAGTAGGACAGAAGGAAGCACATACATTTGTCAAGAGGGTACAGTATTTTTGGCCCTAGGACCGAACTTGTGAGATGAATTTGTGAGATCTCTTAGAGAAGTGGTAACAAATCATTGGGCATGTGTGCCACAGCCAGCTCTTCGTTATCTTTGAGTGCTGTACAAGGTCCGTCATCACCACTTTAAAGATAGTCCGTGCACAGGGACTGGAACAATGTCATTAAGAGCCAGTTTGCGGACGAGGCGGAAATGGCATTGGATTTTATACATTTAGTAGTTCTGAAATCTGAGAATTTCCTTTCTAAGTTCTGGCCCTCAGAAATTAGTTACAGTCTTTGCAACCAAATTTTCCCTTTCAGTGGATGGATGGCCATATAATAGCATTTTCGTGCTGCCAGGCCATGGCCCAGCTCCGAGGGAGTCATACAGCTGTCCATCTGGCCCCTTCCCTCCTGGTCTTCCTTCTTGCTGGGGCAGTGGGACCCATAACAGTACACAGGTGGGTGTGGACCCAAATTTTTCAGATGTGTTCCTAGAGCTGCCTGCGTTCGAGTCATGTTAGACACAGGATGTCTAGACACTGTAAAACCAAGCAAAGTTTGGCCTGAGAATGCCTCTGAAAATTGAGTCCTTATGCAGTGGCTTGCATGCTAACTCAGTCCCCAAGCAAACTAAAAAACCCAGCTGAGGAATTTGCCTTTTTAACAAATAGCCGAGTCTCTGCCAATCACTGCAGCAGGACTTCTGTCCATCACAAGAGACCAGCAGTTTCAGCCTTGTTCACCCAAGAGGAATGACGAGTTGTAAACCATCCTGTGGGCCTCACTTCTGTTTCCCGCATGTCACTTCCTTTCTTCTGGCTGTAAATACAAGCTGCCCGTGTGATGGAGCTGCACATTTTGGCCCTAGGCTGCTGCCCAATTTTTGAATTGAGATTTAAACCAATTAAGCTTTGTAAAACTAGGTTTGTTGTAATTTTTTCACCCACACCTAGATGCAGATGCTTGTTAAAAAGCCAAGTGCTTGGCCCTACCCTTTAGCCACTAAATAAGCTTCTCTGGCAGCTAGAACCCATGGGCCCTGCTTTGTGACTCTGCCTGTACCATCTTGGGAGCTCCTTCCTGGCTCATTCTGAGAGCTAATCACTTCCAGCAAGGGCTTCTCCTGCTCTGGGACTGTTCTAGGTACCCTACATAAGAATACTTAGCCTCTGCAACAGCTCAGTGAAGGGTTATTTTCCATACTTCCAAGAAGAGGTTGGAGAGACGCAGAGGTTGCAGTCCCAACAAGGTCAACCAGGTTTTAAATGAATCATGCCAGCTCATACTCCCAGGGTCTGCTTCCAAGGACCTCTGGATGGATTCTGAGAGTCCAAGTGGCCAGGAAAGGCTTTAAGGACTGTCTCTTCAACACCAAGATGCCACTCATTCCCTGGGACATGAGATTGTCATCGCCCCCTAGATGTCTGCCCTGATGTAAGAGAAGTTAGTGAGATAGGAGTTAGGAGTGTATGAGGGAGTATGACCAGCAGCCCGAGCACGGAGTCAAAAATTTTGGAGTAGAGAAGGAGTCTGCTGACTCATCACTCTGCAGAGATCTTACTGAATCATCTTCCAGGTGTTCTTCGATGTCTGTGGCCTGACCTTCCCAGAGCACAATCACCCAGGCCATTGGCTCCAGGACACATGGGACTCACGTGAGCACTGCATGAACACTATGCAAATCAGGCCCTTAAACATGTGTAGAGTCATAGAGGGTAGAGATTATACTGTTACACAATACCCAGGCTCCCTTGAAGGCCCCTTAAGACTCCTAGACAGCCTTCATAGATATCCTACTCATGACCTCCCACCTGTCTAGTGGGAGCTCCACTTCTTTGCCTTTACATCTTTTAGTTTCTTGTCTTTGTGTCTTTGCAATACATTTGCTTGCACCCTACCTCTTCTACCCACAGTTTCACTTTTTTTCACATGTGACATGAACCTGGCATTCTGGTATCTCTCCTACTTCCAAGGTAAATGTGGAAAAGCTCAAGTTCATGAGTTTGGCTAATGTGCTGTCATTTGAAGATAACAGAAACATGGAGACCAGACATTGGCCCCTTATCTTGGTGCCTTTGGGGGCTAGGTGTGTAAAGCCATGGGCCAGGTAGAGTTTTGGTTCCCACGGCCACCATCTATTGGTCTAGGGATGGGTCAGGTGTGGTCAGAGACCTGTCTGCATTAAACTTTGTCTCTCTTGATCTGGCTTGGGCCACCTTTTATCACCTTCCAGACCCAGGTTCCATGTCTCAGGTGATTTTCTCTGATGGCGCAGATGCCTCCACTCTGTATGGAGTCAGCCCAGCAGTGATCGTTTTGTTCATTCATTTCATTCACGAAATGGCTTCTCCATATTTCCTATTTTCACTCAGTCATCAGAGAAGTAAGTGTTTGAAGTACTCACTTAATAAATTAAAAGCTGATTTTACCAATTTGATTGTGACCTGAGGCCTTCCAAAGTATGGCCCTGTTAGGGTGGCCCCTCTGCCCCAGCCTAGGTACCCAAAGAGTCGTCTTCCATGTTGGACCTAGAAGCCTGCCACATCATCCTTTTAGAATTCAAATCGACTGATACATGGGGCTCTTTGCCTGGGGCAAATTCTCCACCTTCAGCCCCACTTTGATCCTCCATCCCAGGCTGCTTTCATTGCACAGTCAGGCAACAGAGGCTGGAACAGATGACAACTCTTTGTAGAAAGCTGGTCCTTTGCCCCCAACTATGTGTTGTGGTGAGGCACTGAGGGAGGAGGCTGCATCACAATGGCTGGCGGAGTCATGGAGTTCCGAAGCTCTGACGAACTGGAGTTGTCTTTTCTGTCCTAGGATTCTGCAGCAGACTGCCTAGTCCCTTCACTGAAGCCCAGTATTCCCAATAGAAGAGGGGACCCTGTAGGTTCAGTCCCCTCATCCTGTGGAGGAGTCTATAGGGGGGTCTGTATCCAGGATCAGCAATGTTTAGGAAGATGGGAAGGTTGGAGAAGGAAAACACAAATGAAAAGAGCCAAAGAGAACGGTGCTATGATCCAGATCTGTAGCAAAGGGATGCTGGCCCTTGATGAACTCAGGGACATGAGCTACCTGCTTGAGACTTTTCACTCTAGGCTGCTGCCCAATGATGCACCTTGTCCCCAAGCATCATTCTCCCAGACCAGGTCACTGCCCAGTGCACTGCCCTTCCTGTACCCACTCCAACTCCACACACCACTCAGCAACATTCTTCTTTCCCTGATCATCAAATATGGTGGCCATAGCTTCATCCTGGCCCTGGCCCTCTGCCTAGCTGTGACTGGGGAGCTGGGGAGCTGGAGCCATGGTCCTGGGGGTCCTTGAATAGATGCCTTTGAGCTTTTAGCACTGGAAGAGGAGGCAGCTGAGCCCAGAGGTGAGTTCCTACCCTCCCAGTCCAGCCATGCCCTGGTGGCTTCCTTCCCAAGGCCTGTGTTCCAAGGCATCCTTAGCAGGGACTCAGCTTCCTGGCCAGGCATGCTGTTATTGGCTCAAGGGATGTTTTTAGCACAGAACACTCAGTGTGGGCATCTCTGTAGGGGAGCAGGAAGTCAACCTCTCAGCTTATCAGAATGTACAGTGTGACTTCTTTGCTCTCCCCTGATGATCTTACACATTCCCAGGACAGCTTTCAGTAAGCCTCCTGCCTGCTATTTGCACTTGGGGCTGGGGGTGGGGAGTGGTGTGGGGATCTATGTGGCATTTGTTGGGCTCAAGAGAAGGAAGTGAAGACATTCTCCTTTGATCTGTGACATGTGAGAACATTCTCCTGACAGAAGCAGTCCCCAGTAACAGTCACAGCTCCCGGGCCTCTGACAGGCCGCAGCCTGTCACCTTCAGCACCCTGCCAAGCACAGCAGCCCACTGTGGCAGGAGGAGGAGGTGAACCAGGAGGCAGGGCCTGCCTAGGGAGGGGGCTAAACAGGCACAGAGAGAAGCAGAACTAGAGGGATGCTGGGAGCATAAGGAGAAACTGAGGCCAGTAGGGACCCAGGCAATGAGGGGCAGGGGCCCAGGAAGTCAGAGAGGGGCATGGCAGAAACCATGCTGAAGATAGAGGCCAGTGGAGGAGGATACACAGAGATGTGTCCCCTGCCTCAGCCAGGAACTTGTAGACATGACCCTGTCTGGAAGTCAGCATCTGGCCCGGCTGGGGAGAAGGCAGGGAAGGCATCTCAGGCCAGGCCACTGGTGCCAAATACTCTGGACCTCTGGAGCTTTCAGACGTTTCCTGGACCCGGGTCCTTGGGCTCTAGCTTTGGGAAACTCAAGTCAAGACTTGGGGGCTCCAGGTGGTATTATTTATTTCAAAAAGAATATCTACTTAAAATAAAATGTTGCTTTCTCCCATTTAAAAATAACCTTTCCCACCCCCACTCCCTCATTACAAAATAAAATAATACAAGCTCATCATGGGGAACTTGGAAAATATGAAAAGATGCTGGAGAAAACAAAACATGAATTATAATCACATCACATCACCTAATGATATCCACTGCTGGCAATATGCTGGCTTTCCTTTCAGTCCCTTGTCAGTGCACGGAGCTATATAATTAGCAGTAATGTGCCATGGGCATTTTATTAAATATTATTTGACATCATCACTTTTATTAGTATATATATCCTAATATCGGTACATGGTATTCTTTATTGAGGTAATAGATACTTGGCTGAATATTTAGGTTGTACCTAACCTTGTCATCATGAATAACACTTTAATAAATGTCTTTTCTCCTGCATCTTTGCCTCGGTGCCTGATTATCTCAAGATACCTATGTATCATTAGGGACATATATATAGGCATGCAGATATAGATAGATGATAGATAGATAGATAGATAGATGGATAGATAGATAATAAATAGATACCTTCAAGTTGTCCTGTAAGAAGATTATACAATTCTGATGCAATTTGGATTCAGGTGCTGATCACAGAACACTTGATAGCTAATGACTGTGCTTTGTAGTTTGTAAGGTAACTTGACACAGGCAGGAAGTGAGTACTGTCATCTCTGATTTTCAAAGGAAGAAATTGAGGCTCAGAGAGGTTCAGTGACTTGCGATGATCTTAAATTTAACCAAGCATTCCTTCTTCCCATTCTGGGCACATCATCAGCACACAGTGTTGGCTCCTTGTGGGCTCAGCTTGCATAACCCTAGAGTTACCTTGCCTGGATGCAGCTGTTAGCCACACACAGCTATGTGTATTTATTAAAATAAAGCTTTTAAAAAGGTTTAACTCCTAGGTCACTGCTAAGGTCTGGAGTGCTCTAATTGTGTCCCCCCAAGGCCCATATGTTGGTGTCTTGGTTCTCAGATGGTGCTACTGGGTGCTTCCTGAAGTGGGCCCTAGGGGGAACCCTTTAGCTCATAGGGAGTGCTCTTGGGAGGCAGTTCTCTGGGACTCCTTGAGCTGTCTAGAGGGCTGGTGTGAAGGGAACAAGCCTGCCCCTTCCCATCCTCTCCGATGCGGCTCGTGATGGAATCTTGCTTTCTATCTGTCACAGGATAATACAGCCAATGGTCATGATATTTCTTGGACTTTGAACCGTCCAAATTACAAGGTACATAAACCTCTTTTCTTCATAAGCAGCTTGTGTCAGGCATTTCATTATAGTGATGGAAAGCTGTCTGATAGAATCACTTCACCCATATATCAAGTATTTAGGGATTACAGCTGGCTATGTGCCAGACAGTACTGCAACAGAGCATTTCTATCATTGCAGGTTCTACTGGGCACCACTGCTCAAGTGGATTCCTCCACCTCCTGTCCTCTCCAACCAGCTCTTCATTGACCTACACATTGAGTATGAATAAAATCTCCTGAAAACACGCATTCAATCTTGCTAGACACCAGCCCAAAAATCTTTATGGCTCCCTCCTTACCTTATCTGCCCCATTAGGAGTAAGCATACATCTACAACTAGATTCATTCTTTACCTCCAATGCTTCTTTGTATGATTACACCCATCAGCATCTGGCTGAGGCCCCACGGCACAGAGACGGATGAACCATGGACTCTACACTTAATGAGCCACAGTTTGAGGGATGGAAACACTACACACACCCTGGACCTGGCCATGCTTTACTTTTCTTTGTAGCACTTAACCACTGCCACTTATTATCTGTTGCCTCCATTAGAATCTATACTTCATGAGGACAGTGGCTTTCTCTGACTTGTTGACTTCTGTGTCCACATAGCCTGTTGCAATGCTCAGCACTTGGTCAATGCAAAACAAATATCTGTAAGTGAATGACCATATTCCAACACACTGAGATTCTGAGTCTTTCTGATGGGCTAGAAAAAAATGGAAATGAAGTGGTCCTCAACAGCAGGACTGTGTACCTCAAGCCTACAATACTTAAAATCTGACCAACAGCCCCTCAGGACTCTCTAGTCCCAGCCTGTCACCATTCCTACAAACAGTCATTCCTCTTTCCATTGAGAAAAGGGGACAATGCAAGACGAATTTTTTTCCAGATGAATTTTATGACAACTTTTTGGTTCATAAGAGGTTCCCAGCAGGAATGATCTCTTATTTGAAGAAATAAATCAAACACTCAATCCCAGCAAGTTGCCCAGCAAGAAAATTTAAAGAACATATTCACAGACTCTCTGAAGTTGAGATTGGAATAAATAAAATAAGAATCTTTCTTAGACTCTTCTGTCATGTTGACTTCTGGGAAGTCTTTTCATACCAACAAGAAGCATTCAGTTAGCATCTTTTCTTGGCTACCTGTTCACTTACAGAACTTATGGTAGGAGTGGGGCAGGGAACCATTTAAGGAGCAGTGCAGACCCAAGGGAGGGCAAAGACTTGGGCCCTCAAGTGTGCCACAGAAAATCCACCCACTTATGTCCTGTTTTGTTTTATTTTCACCTTTATTCAGTGTCTTCTTATTATAACATTTTCAGTTTCCATTGATTTTAAAACCAATTGGAGAACCCCCTATCTTTTAATAGAAAAATTTAGTCCATTCACTTTTATTGTAACAACCGTTTTATGTGATTAGATTCCTTTATGCTTACTATTTAGAGTATTTTATTGTGATTCTTTTCTTTTCTTTATAGTTCACTCAATTTTTCTATTCCCAATAGTTTCCTTCTGTTTTCTCACATGTATAATTAAAAGTATGCTTCTCTATTATGGGGAAACAAAATGCCAACTATTTCTACTACTGCTTCTGCCCTACTCCAATATTGTATGGATTTTAAAATTCTTTTGTGGTATCGTCCTTCCTCTCACCCCTCCAAGTTCTAGTTTTTCCCAAAATAGCTTTATTATAATCAGTTCCAGGCTATTACTAGGTCCCCCCCCACCGGCCATACTTTGCTGTGTCTGAATCAAGATTGCTGTTTAACACTTTCATTACACATTTCAAGAAACTATAATTTCATCCGCCTAAATTTGACAATTTCTCTCTCTTCCTCTCCCCTCCACTCGCTCCACAGTCTCTGCTCTGATTCATTTGAAAAAAAACAGAATTCCACCTTTCCACCTTTATATCCTTTGATGGTGTGGTAGTTTATAAATTAGTGCAACAATTCTTTGATACTTCTTCCTTTATGAAGCAGAACTTAATTCCACCCCTGTGTGTGGGCTGCATTTGATTGATTTGATTCTAATGACCAGAATGTGGACTGTAGATGACTTCTGAGGCCAGAAGAAACAATGTGGCTCTCTCCTTGCTTTCTCTTTTGGGTCAGTAGTGAGAGAGGAAGCAGCTGCTGTGCTATAGCAGCCTAGGGATACATCCACGCAGTAAGGATAGAGGAGTCCAGGACCAGCCAGCAAGGAGTGAGGCTTCCCACCATTAGCCGTGGAATGGGTCACATTGCAAACACATCCTTCAGTCCCAGCCAAAGCTCCAGCTGATTGAAGCTGGCAGTGTCAGAATCCCTGCTGAGATGCCCAGTAGATGCCTCTTTGCCTCTTCTTTTCTCCTCAGGACCCAGACCAGTTCCATAGTTTTCTTGCAACTCCTCAGCAGGTTCTTTCAGGAGTGCTCAGCCTGGCCCATGTGGTCCTTCTGCTGGCACTGCCAGGGTTTAAGCCTGATTTTTTTTCTTGGTCCTCTCAGCTGCTCAAACTCAAGCTCTTGCTTGGATTAGAGAGGAAATGAAATTCTGCTCTTTCTGTCAGACCTTAGGGACTTGCTCACAATTTGCAGATCTTGCTGCTCACTGACCCCTACACTCTGGAGCTCTGGAGGAGGAGTGTGATTGGATTAGGTGGGGCGGGGAGCCATTTCCTCCTCAGAGCACCATCTGTCTATTGACATGACTCCTTGATCCCTAGCAAGAAACAACTCCCCATCCTCCAAATGCTCAGCTCATTGTCCTGGTGCAGCCTACCTTGACACAGCCCACGCGGCGCTGGCCTCCCCCACCCACACCACCACACTGCACGTGCCTGGAGACCTAGGTCATGCTTCACTTGCCTTTGTTCTCCAAGTGCCCACCCAAGGACTGGAGCAGCACAAGTCTCATCTGACTTCTGAAATAGAGCTCATATTTTTCCCCAGTGCTTCAGCAAAACGCTGTTCTTCCTCTTCTACAGAGCAGGATTCTGGTGTGCCTGCCCGGAGTTGCAAAGGCCCATGCTTTTGCAATTATTAGAAGTTGAGATAGTGCATTAATTAGCTCATTTTTCTGTTGCTGTACTGAAATACTTGAGGCTGGGTGCTTCATAAATTTAAGAAAACAGTTTGGTTAGATCACAGTTCTTAAGGTTCCAGGACAGGCACCAATTTCTGCTTGGTTCTGGTGAAAGTCTCCTGGCAGATGGAAGCACAGTGGTGAGAACACTATGAGAGGGAGGGATCACTTGACTAGAGAGAAAGCCAGAATGAGAAGACAGGCCAGGATCTCCTTTGTGATGGTCGCTCTAACTCAGGGTCCCAAGAGAACTACTTCAATCTCTTCATAGAGTGGGCCCCCAGTGACCTAATTACTTCCCAGTGGGACCCACTCCTTGGAATCCCACATCATCTTCAAACACTACTACACTGAGAATCAAGCTCCCAACACATGAAACCTTGCAGAACAGACCCCAGCCATAGTAGATGCGGTTACATCATGCACCCCTATTGTCTGGTCTGGCATCTCTGGCAATACATCTGCTTGTCTCAGGAGCTTGGAGAAGGTACAAGGTACAATCACTGAATTGGACTGGAGCAGAGGGGTGAAATCTTTGTCTTGTGCACTCCATGTGGGTTCTAAACCCTCCTCTGATTCTCCTAGAAAGACCGTCTTGGTAAACATTAAGAGAAGCAGCTTGGGCTCTGGGCCTCCCATGGACAGCATCCCAGGCCATGCCATACGAGGAGTAGTAAGAAACCAGCCAGTGTTTCTCCAGGGTGCTCCACAGAACATCACTCCCTGTACTTCCATGTGAACAGGGCTATGGAGGTCAGGTGTGTTTAGCATACTTGCTGGTTTATGTCACAGAGCACATTTGGATTTTACATAAACAAACACAAAGCAGAAAACCAGTAAGGAAACATGTTTAAATTTATTGAACCCAAATTTTTCACACATACTTTCCCATAGGTCTCACCCTGCCTTTTTGGCATATAATTATTATTACCAAGTTGTGGGAGTATTTTCTGCGGGTAACCCACTGGGGAATACAGGGATCTGGGGGTTCACACTGAGTTGATTTTTCCTTTAACTTGGAGGAAGCAAGGCCTAAAGCAGTAGTTCTCAAAGTGGGCTCCCCAGACCAGCATCACCTGAGAATGTGTTGGAATCCATGTCCTCAGGCACCACCCAGCCTGAGAAATCAGCAGCACTGGGGGTGAGGCCCAGCAGTGGGCATTTGATGTCACTGGAGTTTGAGAACCATTGGCCCAGTGGTTGGGAAACAAACTCAAGGCACACTGTCAGGCTTAAATTGCCACCTCTGCAACTTTGTACCTTAGTGACCATGGGTCACCTTGGGTGAGTAGCCTGAATTCCCTGTATGAGATAATTCCCGTCTGCCAGCACGGTCCTCAGCATCAGGTACTGTCCCCCCTCCCAAGAAACCCCAGAAAATAAGGCATTAGTGAGACCTCTTATGGGACAAGAACAGAATATAAAATTGGTAGGGGTGTGATTGAAAGCTGGTACCCTAAAGTTCTGACATCAGATCTCTGACATTGGGAGCAGGCTGCCCTGGAGATGCTTGCAGGGACAATGATATTTCTGTTTGTGACACCACAGACCTATGACACAGTGTCTGACAAAGGCTTCCCGGCAGCAGAATTAGGATGAGAACCCAAGGCCTCAGACTCTTTTGCCCAGAGCTCCTCTGGCAATGCTAGACTGTTCTCTATTCTAAATTCAGTGCTCTTTATTTCAAGGCGTGGGTGAGGAGTCCCCAGACTGACTTCTAATATTAGAGGCTCACAGTACCCATCCTGTAATGGTTTGACTTAGCACTTTTCCAGCTGTATGCACGATGGAGCAATAGCAACACACATTCAGTAGCAACTGCACTTGCACTTGAGAGTGTGGAACTATTCCAGGGCTAGCAATATCAGGTAGGATATTCTCTGGCAATGCCCAAATGCAGGCTCTCGTAAATGCTATGTTGGGTCAGGCTGGGCGAGGTTGTTCGGTAAGTCAGGTAGATTAAACACACTTTCGACTTAGAGTAGTTTTGACTTATGATGAGCTTAGCAGGACATAACTCTCCCAGGTCCATCTGTAATGTGCATATTGGCTCTTGAGTGTCTTCTTATATTTCTTCCCAAGCATGGTGCCCTGAGCAAGGAGGCCCAGCCCGTCACCTGTGCTGGGGTGGGGTGGGTCTGCAGTAGTGGACCTGTCTTACCCCAGAGGTCCTGTCTGGGATGTGCTGGGCTGGCAATCTGCAGGAAACTCTGGGAAAGCCAAACAAAAGGTAAGTAGAATGAGCCCCAGGGGGCCCATTAGCTTCCCAGAGCCGCTGGAGCATTCCCAGGAGGGATCGTTGCTGGGAGTGTGTGATCAGCACAGGCACCGTCACAGGCAGCTGCTGGCATATTAATATTCCAGATAAATGGCTTTTGGCTCAGTCGAAAGATCCTGCAAGGGAGCGGGTTTCTCTTTGAAGCTCCTAAGAGGGGCAGC